CTCGTTAACTTCATGCAGTGGATTTTTAATCTCAGTTTTTAATTCCTTACATAACTCTTGTATTCTTCACAGGAAGCACCCTTAAAACTCCCCTTCTCCCCATCTTTCCCCCCTTACAAATTTTAAGGTAGAAGGGGGTCAGCGCCCCCCCCCCCATATTTTAAGAAAATGGGTAGAGGAGCTAAGCCAGTGACTCTCAACCTGCGGGTCATGACCCTTTTTTGTGTGGGTCCCATGACCCTTTCATAGGGGTCGCCTAATACCATCGCAAAACACATATTCATTGAAGTTATGGATAAAAATAATTGTTTGGGGGTCACCACAACATGGGGGAACTGTATTAAAGGATCGCGGCATTAGGAAGGTTGAGAACCACTGGGCTAAGCGGTATCGCTAGCCATGTATAATTATTTTCTTTTTAAGTATTTTATAATTTACCCTTCATATTTTTTCTCCCAAACACACAGTATAAGCCTCTATAAATTGATCACCCAATGGACCGTGGAAGATCTGTCAACGTATGGAGGTGGTCAACTTAAGGTCTTTTGTTTAGATAATATGAACCCGGACCGGATAAATAACCAAGATCCTGTCAAGTCAAATTCCTAAATCCCCGTCGTCTCTTGGCGTTGTCCAGACTTCACCATCTCTGGGATCTTTTCTATTTCCGTTTTTTCTCCGCAGCTTTCACTACTTCTGCTGCACATTCTCAGATTCTCTTCTGCCCTAATCACGTGGGCTCGAAAGCGAGCAGAATTCTTTTTAGCCATAGAGTTTGTTTGTTCATCAAACATGTTTGGTTTGTAACGACAAAATGGTTCATTTCATGAATAAGATAAATGCAGTACAACTGTTTAATGGCTGTTCAGAAACTGTAAATAAAAATAAAAAATTAAAAAAAAAATTAAAACAAATAAAACTAAGAAAGCTAGAAATGTAGACATTGAAATAAAACTGCTGTTTCATCCTGGTTTGATAATGTTTTATTTTTTTGGTTCTAAAAAAAAAAAAAAAAACTAAAAAGCAAAGTGAATCTGGGCCTGTGTCTAATTCTTATTGCAAAACACAAGCAGAGAAAGCACTCTCGGCACTAGTTACACTTCTCAACATATGTGTGAATTTTTTCAGAGCAAACGACTTTAGCTGCTTTAACAGATGCCCGGCAGTCTCCTCTTTCGGAGACTTCCATTTCTGGGACATTGCGTTTTGCTTTGCTGGAGGGGGTGGGGGGAGAGGGGGGGGGGGATTGTAACTTTCAACCAGCATCCGCGATTGGGGAGCATTAGGTTATAATTGTGACTAGATTACATGCAAACATATATATAAACAGTAAAATAAAAATAATGGTAACGCGAGGAGTTACCAGTGGATGTGACCGACTCTCAGTTTTCAGCTGAGGGGCGAGACGGACATACAATCAGACTGTTACTGACATCGTCTGAATTGCAAATCTGCGCTTGCTGCTGAAGATGGAGACGGAGCGCTTATGGGAATATCCCGAGGGCTATGATGTCGATCCATAACCCACAGCTTATGACATGGATTTTCTTTGGCAACAGAAATATACGAGACAGGAGGCTGTTGTCTGGCTTGACAGACCACCTCGTACACCACATTTCATAAGAAGTACAAAGCGTACGATAATTTATGGAAGATTAAATCCTATAGTTTATCTTTAGTGAGTTTCTATACATATACATATAATTTTACATTTTTTAAAAAATGAAAACATTTTTATTTATATAATATGCTTTACATAAGACATGTCAAAGTAGCGGACCGTGGACCGCGTGCAGTCCTTTGCAAGCATACCTGTGGCACGCACATAGAAAAAAACTACAACTTTTCTTAAGGTCTTCAATTGGTCGTCGTGTGTGGCCGTCATGGGAGACACATACATGGCCCATATGGGTCACTTGGACGTCATGGAGACATCCACATGAACCATATGGGTCACTTGGACGTCATGGAGACATACACATGAACCATATGGGTCACTTGGACGTTATAAAGACATACACATGAACCATATGGGTCACTTGGACGTCATGGAGACATACACATGAACCATATGGGTCACTTGGACGTCATGGAGACATACACATGACCCAGATGGGTCACTTAGAGGTCATGGAGACACACACATGACCCAGATGGCTCACAGAGACCCTCAGTTTGACATGCCTGCTCTGAGTGACTACCATTGTTTTGAGAACCGATGTCGACGCATGTCCTTCACTGCTGAAGAACATGCCGCATAAGCACAGCTGGGGTTTTGTTTGTGATGGTGTTGGTGACATGTTTATTTTCCCTATATATGGACACTTTTTACAGCGGCGTCCCAGGCTTAGGTGTTGCGAGTCCGACTCGTAATTCCAACGTACCGTGATTGAAACCCACTGCTGGCTGCGTGGATTTTTATCATGGGATGGGGCTTCTCATGTCAACCCAGCCTTAAATGGATACCAGGATGTATGTCATGGGAAAGTAAAGACGGCCGGCATAATACTGACCACATTATCCACCTAGTGCCAACTGGTCTGTAAAATTAGTCCTCTTTTCCTATGCCTGATGAGGGTAAAGGCTTTACTTGGAAAGTTATACTAGATGGATATTTTTCAGTATAGCTTAAGCGACGACTGGTCTATAAAGAATAGATCTAGCCCTATATACCCAATACGCATGAAGGTGTGGAAAACGGTTCTCTACTTTTCTTTTGTTTTTACTTTATAGCAGAATGCGAACTATTTGTTATCATTATTTATAGCTGACGGAAACGCGTTGGCGTAGTAGCTAGACGCCCGCACGCCGACCTTGAAGTTTAAGGTTCAGATCTGCATCAAGACAGATTTTATTTTCAAAGCTGAACCTGACTTTCAGCTCGACCCAGCCTAAAATGGGTACCAGGTTATGACTTGGGAAGTAAAGGCGACCAGTTTGTTGAATCGGCACTTGATTTAGCGAGTGCCGATTAGTCCATGAAATATACGTCTAAGACTATGTGTCCCATGTGGCGAACACGTGAAAACACAAGGTCCGTTACTTTTACTTTACTTTAATTATAGTTCAATGCTCATATTTTTATAGTCATAATTATTTCCTTATATGTACTGTTGTTGTAAAGTATTATTTTTTAAATAAACATTTTCTTTGCAAAGTGTAAGTTGTTTTCATAAGTGGCTAATTTTCAGTGCGCTGTTTGATGTTTGATGTTACGTAAAATGAACACATGGGAAATGAGAGGGAAAGCCGCCAACTCAACCATCCGAAACAAGGCAAGGTTTGAGGTTTGAACAACGGATCAACATCATGGCACACGGGTAGTAACCCATAAGTGCTCCGCTTTTCTTCTAACTCAAGTATAAGTCCGAAGAAGCTCAGCACAGTGCACAGGCTCTGTAGCACCGGCGAGGATCCTGAAATACTTTGGGTAGATTTTTAAACTCTAAATTTTGCCCGGGCAGCGCCGATAGGCTGCTCTTTTTGATTTCCAACTGCCAAGGGATTTTTCATGTGCGCAACAATGCACACGGGCGTCCGATCTCACTACCCAGAGACCAGGGGGAATTACTAGAAGTCCAAGTTTACGTGATGAAACCCAGCCCTTACCAGGAATTGAACACGGGCACTCAAAGCAGACACCTTGCCTCCAGACCACGCTGCCCCCTCCGAGACAAGGTGAGAAATGACAATATCGAACGGAAATGAAATTTCTGAGCAATGCTGCAGGAGTTGCCAGGAGACTAAAAACATGAATGATGTCATAAGAGAAAGAGATATAGAAGCAATACACCCCTGTGTGGGTTCCGGGGCCCCATTGTAGGGGAAAACAAGAATAGACCCACTGCCTCCCCAAAAGCATGTCGTAAGAGTCGACTAATTGGGGAGCTTCCTTTGAAGTCGGAGTGCATCTGCCGGAGAGGCAAGGAACCAACAGTCTGTATTCAAGAGAATGAGATCTGTAAAACTGATGCACACGCAACACTTAGGTTCTGGAGCAGGACTGCAGTTCAGTAGTGGACGAGCAACCAGAACTTTCCTCCAGAGTGTACAGCTGGTGAACGCGAAGAAGAAGAAGAAGCAATACTGACGTACTTAGATATACAAAAAATAAAATAAGTTGCACACTTAAAGAGAATGTCTTATTGGTGTATTCAACGGATCAACATCATGGCACACGAGTGTAACCCATAAGTGCTCAGTTCTATCTTTAACTGAAACGTAAGTCTGAAGTTCCAGCTCAGTGCACCGGAGAGGATCCTGAAATACTTTAGGTAGATTTTTAACTCGAAACTTGCCCCCCAAACCCCTCCCCTCTCCGTTAGGCTACTCTTATTTCTATTTTCAACTGCCAAGGTGGTTTTTACGTGCGCAACAATACACGCGGGCGTCTGATCTTACTACCCAGAGACCAGGGGGAAATTACTAGATGTCCACGTGAAAAAATCGAGTCTTGTGGTGCCCTACCTTACAAGGCATATACAACAACAACAACTACACATACACACAAGAGAAGAGGGGCGCAGAGCCTGTAGAAGAAAGAAAAAAAGACGGAAAGAAAACACTATAGAAACTGTACAGCATTGTCAAATGTTACAGGTGGAAGCTGCCAGAAAATACGAGAACCCGTACCGTATTTTTTTTTTCTAAACAGCAGAAACGGGGACAGAAGAAGTGAAGGAAACACGAAGGACTCACAAGTTCCTTTACAGAATAATGGAACAGTTAATCACCATGCATAGAGATTACAAGACTACCTTCAGTGAATTGGGTTTCATCTTTAACGACATGGATACAACCTTAACAGGGGGACTGTTTTCTAGCTGAGAACGTCGCGCAAACTGCAAAGCTCCATAACTCAAACGATGGCCCTCTACCCCCCCCCCACCTCAGGGAGAATCTAAAGATACAGTTTAAAACTGTGACCAATATACTTAGGGGGCGGGGGGAAATGGCGTGACTGCTGGTTTTAAATATCCAAAAACCATAAATTGTGAACC